GAAAACATAAATGTTTAGACTAAATAGCTTAAATCTCATAACATTAAACATTTATATATATTATTTTTTTTTATATTGATCTTTCACCAGTGCGTGGCTAACAATTCAGAAGTTACAATGACGCAGCTCACATGCACTTATGTTATTGTATCAAATAACATAAAACTGACCTTTGGCTGTGTTTTAGTAGACTAGTATTTTGTAAATTACAGTCAAATTTCAATTATTATACATTATATATGTATATAGATTATTGCTATTTTGATATAAGCTCTTAGATATATTTTTCCTAAAACGTAGAACAGTAACTAAAGAAGGAAAGCAAACAATTATCTCTTCTAGGTACAATCTTTGTACTTGGTTGCTGCTTTACGTAGGTTGATAAGCCTTTAAAAATTTTGCACTTGGATATTTATATATATATATATACAGTTAAATAACTAAAAAATAATAAATTACTACATTAATACCATAGAATTCTGCTATAATTTATCAAGCTTAGTAACTAAGATGTATTTTAGTATAAAAAAATATGAAATTTTGAGCAGACTAAAGACACCACCCTACCTTGTTGAAATATTGGTTCAAAAGAAAGAAATAGTGCCAAGTCCATTAAAATGGCTGAGAAAGTCATTAGGGGGACATTCTGAGCTACCCATTGGTTATTCATGTAATATATAGAAGTAAGTGTATATAAGGGAGCATTTCCAAAAAATGGAAAGAGGTGGGTGGGATGCCACTGTGTTTGATTCATTACATGAACAATATCTTAGCAAACTGAAAAGATAAGAGGCTCTTATTTTATATTCTAGCTTGTCAATATTGCTAATTTGTGTTTCTAACTCGTTTGAAACTATAGATTTAGTGATTTGACTTCACAAACATCTAATTTGAACCAGTGCTGCATTCAACATACCATGTGACATACAAAAAGCGATGTTTATTTGTGTTTTTAATATTTGCTTTTAAATTAAGAAATTGAATAATATATAGTACTAAAATTTTAATTATAATCTTCAGTTTTATACCAAACTTATTAACATAAATTCATGAAATAGTAGTTCAATAAAATTTTGAATGCGAGTCAACAAACGCGATGACATGGCCTTTCGCCCATGACCCGTTTTGAAAGGGTTAATACCTAAATGTTCTTCTCTGGAATGAAGCTTTTATTTGTTGGATTAGCTTTCTGTTAATACCTAAATGTTCTCTGGAATCAACCTTAAATTTTTTGGATTAGTTTTCTATTAATACCTAAATGTTCTTCTCTGGAACCAAGCTTAATTTTTTGGATTAGCTTTCTATTAATACCTAAATGTTCTTCTCTGGAACCAAGCTTAATTTTTTGGATTAGCTTTCTATTAATACCTAAATGTTCTTTTCTGGAACCAACCTTAATTTTTGGATTAGCTTTCTATTAATACCTAAATGTTCTTCTCTGGAATGAAGCTTTTATTTGTTGGATTAGTTTTCTATTAATACCTAAATGTTCTTCTCTGGAATGAAGCTTTTATTTGTTGGATTAGTTTTCTATTAATACCTAAATGTTCTTCTCTGGAATGAAGCTTTATTTGTTGGATTAGTTTTCTATTAATACCTAAATGTTCTTCTCTGGAACCAAGCTTAATTTTTTGGATTAGCTTTCTATTAATACCTAAATGTTCTTCTCTGGAATGAAGCTTTTATTTGTTGGATTAGTTTTCTATTAATACCTAAATGTACTTCTCTGGAACCAAGCTTAATTTTTTGAATTAAGTTTCTATTAATACCTAAATGTACTTCTCTGGAACCAAGCTTAATTTTTTGAATTAAGTTTCTATTAATACTTAAATGTTCTACCAAGCTTTATTTTGTATGTATGAGTGTTAAGGGTTTCAAAATTTTGAAATGTAACTAATTATTTGAAATTCGTAATCAAAAACTTCAATTTAAAAATTTAGAAACTATAACCCTATACAAACCTGAGCACTTTTAGTTTAAAAAGTTAGCAGTTTACATGTACTCTAAAGAAGAAAGGTGTACCTCCCAGAAGTGCTTATGCTTTTGGGTTTCTTTAACTGTAACATACCTACTTTGGTAATCCAGCATGCTTTGTAAGTATCTTGTTCAGGTTACTAATTGTTGATTTCACTGAAACATTATTAAAAGATAGACACAGTAATTTTATCAATTGTCTTCTAGTGTCCCATTAGTAAGACCATTTCAGTCATCAGTGTTATTATTTTTTTTTATCATCGTCATATGTTTTGTATATGAAATTTTCCAGAGGAATATGACTACCTTAAGAGTTTCCTGCAGAAAATGGCTGTGCATGATCATAATGCAGAAATATTGGACTGGGCTGTTGGTGGTCAAGTGTTTTTAGATTACATTGAAGTCAGTCAAGCTGTGGATAAGGTTCTGCAGGTGTGTAGGTCCACTCAAGTTTTCGGTTATTATTGAATAAGGTTTCTCAGTGTTAGGATTGACTTAATATGAAACTTAAATTCAGTGGATTATGCCCTTCCTTGCTCTCTCTGTTGGTAGAACTTTACTGCATTAAAGAGTAATTACATGAAAATTCATTACTTATTGTTATATAGTTAATTTAAAACCACACACTTATTTTTGAAGTTTTAAGTTATTTTTTTTATGGTAAAAAGTTAAATATAAGACAGTTTCATAATGCATTAAGGTATTAAAGTAATTATGAATTGTTTGTGTTTGGTAATAAAGCTTTGGTTGTTATTATTTGGTAAACTAGGCTACACACGGTGTTAATTTGTTATAGAAAATGCAAATTTCTGTTAATTTTAATTTGCCAAAGTTCAAATTTTTATAATTCTAACTTAAATGTTTTGTGCTTTTTATAACGTAATTCTAATGCACCATATTATATAACATAAAGAATGGTTTAATGATTAAACATAAAACTTATGAAACTTTTCATATTTCATATTCATAAAATAGTTTGTTACTTCACAAATGCCAAACAAGAATAATGTAAAGTCAAACATAGTCCCATACTTATATCATGCATTTTATAAAAATGTTACTAGAAATATAAATGTTTATTCACAAAGTTTTATTTTAGCGAGAAACTTGCGGAGATATTTTTTTGCACACTCTTTCGTGGTTGTAAGAATGTGCTGTTATATAGATCACATTTCTGAACCTATTAAATGATCTTGACAATAACATTAAAATTTCAGATTATGTTTTCTGAGAAAGATTAAAATGTTACTCTTTGTACTCTCTCGAGTGAAGTAATAAAGCAGAAGAATAATTTATCACCCTCTTATTTTTAGGGGAAAGTAAGTACCTATGACTTGGAGAAACTACAGCCTGAAGTTTTATCCTTGTGTAATCGTATATGTAGCCTTCGTTGTCCTACTGCTAAGGACAGGTAAGCATAATCGTCTATTTTTAATCATTTGCTGTGTTACCACTAAATATAGGAAAATCTTATGCATGCTACTGCTTTTGTACAATTAAGAACAAGAAACCTTGTTGTCTTGTAATGTTTTTCATTTTTTCTCTTCGCATCCATGTATGTATACTGATGTTCTTCTTTGAGCTTTAGCTTTATACTTGTACAGTATTACATATAACATCCATTGCAGTTGTGGTTATATTCCATGTTGTCTAACAGTGTTCTGTATACAGTCTTGTTAATAGGCTTATTTCTGTAAAACTGAGATCTAGTAGATGGTATTCTTGTGAAATCTTTGATAAACAATTAATAAGGTAGTCCTTATTTTGTAGTTAACATCTTGGTTTTCCATGAAGATAAAATACAGCTTTTAACTTTGTGTAATTGTGGTTTTATTAAATCAAATTATGTCTTGGTTGTTGAGCAACACTCACTGTATGTTGCTGGACATAAATTAATCATTACAGAGTTAACTAAGGTAATTTAGAGCTAACTGTTAAGATATAAAAATGAAGAAAACATTCCACGTATTATAGAACGTCAAAGGAAAAATTTTAAATATGAAGTTCAATCTGTTATTTGATTAACCACTTGTCACTAAGTAGTAATAGGATTCTATCTCTGGTCAAGGTTAGGTTTCATATCCTAAATAGCTTGTTTGCTGAATAGTCTAGAATAAGTTAGTAGCACCACAACTAAGTATTATCCAAAACCTGTAGAAATACAGGTATGCTGTGGCAAGTGAAAGATAGCAATACAAGATAAAAAAAAATTAGTTTGTTAAATAGACTTTTAATACATTTATAGGTGTTTTCTTGAATGTCTTAATCAGTAACTAGGTTAGTGGTAGGGTTTCATTCATCCAAGCTACATGGAAACAGTTTTTATCATTGAAGGTGTTTTCTCTGCAGTTTATAATTTTGAAGAGCTTATGAAAACTTTTGTTTGTTTGATTTAAGACTGTTTCGTAGGACATCACCAAAGTTTCACTAGCTTGGTATTTTGTGATATTATGAGCTGTACAAATATCCCCTGATGGGTCAACACTAAACTTGTGGACTTACAACACTAAAGTTTGGAGTTTGATTCCTGCAATAGACAGTTACATAACTTGTATAATATTGCACTAAGAAAACAACAATTGTTATGTTAACATTTGTCAAAAGGTACTCAACAAATCCTCTAACATGCTTCTTGATGTCTTTAGAAAAAAACACAGGCTCATTATTAAGAAATTAATCATTGATAATTTTTATGTACTTTTAATATTGAAGTGAATTCTATTTTTTAAAATTAAATCATTTCTTTTTTAATGTAAGCTGAAGCTACTGTACAAACTTCAAATCAAGTGATACTGTATTTATCATTATACATTTTTGGTGAAAAACATGGTAAAGAAGTACATTGTTGGTGAAAAAACACAGTAAAGAAGTACATTTTCTTGTTTCACACCTGTATGGCTCAGTTCTTAAATTAATGCATTTTATTTTTTAACTTTTGTCTCTGTTGCTCATATTGTGTAATATTCTTGTGTATTTTACTGAAATATGAATATTTGGTATTCATAGATATTAAACTTTAGCTAAAAATTTGATGATGAATTTTTTTCACAGGCTGTGTCAGGCTGAGATGGCCAAGAAAACTGCTACCCTACTACGGGCAGTATTGTTCTTACAAAAGGCGAAGTCAGAAAGTCGAGAAGATAAAGCTGCTACCAGAGCACCTGTCCATCTTTTGGCTCCTTACATTGTTAAATTACCGATGCCTGAAGACTATGCCCTACAAGAACTTCGAACTCTAGCTCGAAGTTACATGCTGGACCTTACAGAAGGATAAATAAAGGCTGAATTAGACCAGAGCCAAGTGATATATTGTAAATCCCAAAAATGCTTGAAAATGGTTTCTGTGAAAAGTAAAATATATGTTTGAACATAAACAGTCAACCAACTGTTTTATGCTCTCAATTTTTTCATAAATTTCTATTAATGATAAATACATAAGTTTTCACAAATGTTTTGTTTCAGCTAGTTTAAATTTCACTCTTACCAATTCTTATGAGGCACATAAGTTAGTTAAATATGTGTGATGATTTCTAAGAATACAGCTGGTAGTTATATTTACTGTACTACAGATATTTTGATAGATTTACTGGATCATGTAGGATTTTATATATCTTACACGTTGGTTAAATTGAAGAGATAATGTGTAAAATTTTTTATGTACATAATGGTCATTTCAAGTTATAACCCATTTTAGTTAGAGTGAGTGATCTTAGGTGTTTTCTTTATGTTAAATGTGGTTTTAAAAGCTTGTATGTGTAAATATAACAAGTCTCAAAGATTTGCACATCTGTAAAATAAATGGATTTTTAAAAAAGTGAATGGTTCATCTAAACAATGTTAGTTGTAATAACAAATAGAAACATGCTGGAATAAGTGTGGTGGGTGTCAGACGTGATTGTTTGTATTAAAACATATGGTGTTGTGTAACATTATCAAATCAGTGAAAATTAATGCTTGCTTCTGAATGTTTTTTTTTTTATTGTATAATTGAAATTGTAAGCTTTACTTTGGATTTTTTCTCACAAACTAATAAATCATACTTTACCTTCCATGAAATGAAAAGTTATTGGTTTAAGTAAATAAAGAATTTTGCTGGGAAAATAAATGGTATAAATGATTTTGGTTCATTATTAGTTTGTAGTCTGAATAAGAAATATTAAAAACAAGTGAGAAATACAGTATGCTAGAGTTTAATATAGAAGTTTGTTTAAACGAAAGTGGCTTCTTTGATTTTATCTCAAATTTTAGCTTAAAAAAAATAAAAAAAAATATTTACTGTTATTATTCCGAATGAAAAATGTGTATTGAAAAATGCAACTTTGGAATTTTTTGTAAATTTCATAGTTCTGATTAGTGTTAAAAACATTTTCGACTTTTTTTTTTGTGGTTATTTTTCTTATCCTTACAGATGCATTATACTTCAAACTGACTAGATGAAACATATTGGTTGTTGAATAACAGCTTTGACGTTGGTTAGAACCAGGTGTTTATGTTTATGATATGCTTTTCCATATTACATTATTTGGAGGCTAATATTTTAAATAGAATCTTCGTTTTCCTTTCAAATAAAATCTTCCAGAGCCTTATATTTTTGTTTTTCTGTTTGCTTGGAATAGAAATATAAACAATTTTTTCTTCCATAAACGTCATTTCTTACAGCCTCAACATTTTTTATCATAATGAATTTTGGTTATTAAAAACCAACAACTAAAATTAAAGATCATGTTTATGTTTCTAGCCTGATATAGTAATAAACTGCTTTAGAATTTTTGTTTTGAAGTAACTACAGACGCTGATATCACTATAGTTAAGTTAGAATATTTTGTTTGGTAACAAACTTTGTAAGTGATCATGAAATCGGCTGTTTTTGAAACTTCATCAACCAGAAAGAGAAATCGTATCTAAAACATTTGAGTACTTCGTATTATTTGTGGTAGTGTTAGTATTCTATATCATTTTTAGTGTGTAACATCAAGTATGAAATGTATGTCTAAGTAAATAAACATTCTGAACATTATTGATTCTGGCAGTTTTTTCTTTATAGAAAATTCTAATTAATCCATATAGTTGAGGTTTTCGGCTACCAAGAAGACAACATGATCGGATATACATAGATTATTTATTGTCAAACGTCCCTGACAACTAACATCTCGGCCTGTGCTAAAATGTATGGCCAGGCAATCTGAGAGGCGCGGGTTCGAATCCCCGTCCCACCAAACATGCTCGCCCATTCAGCCGTGGGGGTTGTTATAATATGACGGTCAATCCCACTATTCATTGGTAAAAAAATAGCTCAAGGAGTTGGCAGTGGATGGTGATGACTAGTTGCCTTTCCTCTAGTTTTTAGCTGCTATATTGTGGACGGCTAGCGCAGGTAGCCGTTGTGTAGATTTGCGCGAAATAAAGACAACCTTTTTTTTTCGCCAATTGTTCTATATTTCATTTTAACTTTTAATGGTGAACATTTTGTATTTGGTAATGAAACTCGTATCTTCTTATTGAAATTGGTCGAGAGAAATGCATTGGGCAATAAGATTTAAAGTAACAAAAGATAATGGTAGGTATAAACGTGTATTGTGTTTTTGTTCTATAAAATATGTTTTATAAAAAAAAATATAATTTTATGGGCTAGTGTGATTGAATATTTATATATTTTAGAACTAAGACCAAATCCTATTTCCTAAAATTCAAGACTGAATACTTTCAGGTTTAATATAAGAAAAATGTTTTTAAACAAAATGCAAAAATACATTTAATGAGTATGAATTTGAAAGTCGTAATAGGCATGTCTGTTTGTAAAAGTCATTTGAATTAATTATCTGATGATGAATAAACATTTTAAAAGTTTTGTTCAAATTGGAATGTTTTATTTTGTGGTCACGGTTTATTAGAAAATATGAAATTATTAATCGAGGTAATGCAGATATCCCTAGAGCAGCTTTGCGCAAAGTTGAAAAAAACATTACTTGAGTAACATTTAGGCTATACTTTTTGTGTTGAATTAATTGATTACGTAATTAGAAATATAAAATTACAAGAATGGTTTAAAACAATGTATAAGATTTGATCAACGCTCTGGTTAAAATACTGGTACTTGTGAAAATTCAGTAAGTATCATCATTACATTGAGGTAAATAATCGTTATAAAGATTACAAGAGTGCAGGCAATTTTTTAAGACAAGTGAATGAATGGAAATAATTACTTCAGCATTGTTGGAAAAAAGTGAGGTTATTTTATTTAACTTCTGTAAAACCGTGTTCTTTCAGCCGTGGGGGCATTATAAAGTGACGGTCAATCCCACTATTCGTTGGTACAAGAGTTGGCGGTGGGTGGTGATGACTAGCTGCCTTCTCTCTAGTCTTACACTGCTAAATTAGGGACGGCTAACGCAGATAGCCTTCATGTAACTTTTCGCGAAATTCATAACAAGCCAAATCAACTGTCAAAACGTACAGCAATGGAAATCGGGCGAAAATAACATCTGTAGATCAAATTTAACAATATCAGCAAAAAGTTGAACAAATAACAAGTCTCATAATAATAATTTAAAGATAAAGTATGAAACTTATAAAATCCATTTCATGCGTTATTTTGATAGGAACTAAACTAGAATTCGTAAACAGGCATATTTTGTGACGTAAAAGGTTCTGGTGGGCGATTTTGTGTTTCACTTATGACAAAATCTGAACGTTATTCGAAGAATACTTGATAAGGAAGATGCTTTATGTGGCTTATTGCATTTTGACTTTTAAATGTAATTTTTGAATTGTTTAGAAGGTTTGGATAAATAAATTACTTTCTAAAATAAAATGACATTTTTCCTGTCTATATTTCTGCGGTGACAAGATTACTAATTAAAACGTTTATAATTCTGGATAAGATAAACCATTTCTTGGAAGATACTGATTAAAACATTCTAAATTCTGGATAGTCTTAACCACTTCTTGGAGGTTAATAATTGAAATGTGAATTTGGATAGCCTTGTTTGATTCTTAGCGGCTCTTAATTAGTTGCTGTGAAAACATTATACATTTTAATTCAATTCTAGGCGGCCAGCAGAATAATACTGTGTGAAATAATGAATATCTTGATGAAGATAATTCAATTATTAGCGACCAATTGTTTTATTACCTAATATGCTGTGAATCTTTGAAAATCTTAATTAAAAAGTTGTGAAACATTAAAAAGTTTAGATCACGACTTAGCGGTTCTATTTATTAAAATACTGTGAAACATTGGAAGTTTTAATCCACCACTTAGTAGTTTTATCATCTTAATTGTTATGAGCCATTGAAAATCTTAAACCGATTCTTAGCGGATATTAATTGAAATGATGTGAAACATTAGAAATCATAAACCAATTCTTAGAGGATATTAATTGAAATGATGGGGAGCGTTGGAAAAATCTAAAAATCAGTTCTTAGCGCTTACTAACTAAAATGTTCTATAACATTGGAGTCCCCTTGTGGTTCAACGGTATATCTGTGGAGTTACAACACTAAAAACCGTGGTTTCGATACTCGTGGTGGGCACAACACAGATAGCCTATTGTGTAGCTTTGTGTGTGACTACAAACAAACTATAACCTTAGAATCGGATCTTAGTAGTTATTAGTTAAAATGTGGTGAATCATTGAATATATTAATTATTAGTGGTTACTAAAAATCTAGTTCTTTGTGATTATTAAATAAAATGATGTGAAATAACATATATTTCGATCCATTTAGAACGCTGTAAAACAGTAAACATCTTAGTTTAGTTCATTGTAATTACTCAAAACTTTGTTGAATAAAATATTTTCTCGTAACTTGTAAAATTCCTTCAGTTTAAGATTGCCAGTAACAAATGATGTTTCTCCAAAGAGTATAAAATATCTCAAAATAAATTTCCGGATTTGGAAATTAAAGCTAAAGCCTGTCAAATTAAAATTTAAAATAAACAATTTGAAGAAGTTCTAAAGCAAATGAAAAACAGGTTTAGCCCTTAGAACTAGGATATTTGAAAGGTAAAATTATCAACTGTAATAATAAAACTTTAACTGAGATTAGAGTTAAACAGTTACGTTAAGTCAATGCAGAGTCGTCACTGGCATTGGTACACGGGGCCCTTACCCTGATTCTATTTGACAGTTCCCCGAATCCCCAATTGGTGTGTTGAAAAATCAGAATAGAAAACAATGATCGAAGTCATACTGAAATGCCGAAAATTCTCGCGTCTATGGGCCCAAGATCCGAATAGTTTAAGATTCTAGCGATCCTTCTGACTCAATGTCCTTAAAAAGCATAGACATGAGAAAAAAATGGTGCACAACTTTTGAACAGGTTAAAACTCAAGTAACTGGTTGTGCCTATGAGATTTTAGACCTAGAATCTAAGGATATTGTAATCGCTAAACCGGATAAAGGTTATGTGGTTGTTATTTTAAATAATATGGATTACATCAACAAAGTGGAAAGCTATTCTAAGTAACACGGATAAGTTTTTAGAAGTTAGGTGGGATATAATAGCATCCAGGAAAAACAAACTTACGAGATATCTAGTAAAGTTAAAAATAGACGACGTCATAATGAAAGAAAAGTAACAAAAAAACCAGACTCAGCGAATTAAGGGGTGAGTAAGCACTCCGCAAGGTTCACAAACAGGAGTGTCCAGTTAGAATAACTATTGCTAGTGTAGGCACTTACAATGAACCATTTGCAAGATCATTGACCCTTAATTTGTACAGAATGAATATTCTGTTAAGAATACTTTAGGACTGTCAACAACTTAAACATTCACAGTTTAATGATGTTTACAAATATACTTCTAGACAAAATCAAAATTTTGTCTTAACGTTAAGTTTGCTGTGATTGAAAATATACAGGTAGAAATAAAAAATGTTTAAAACACTTTTACGTTTTGCATCGAAATAATCATATTTTATGTTCAATGGTAAAATCTATGAACAGATTGGAGTGGCGGTGGGTTTCAGTCTTGCTCTTGACCTTGCTAACATTTTCGTGTGCTTCTACGAAAATGTTTGGTTACAATCCTGTCCTGAACGCTTTAACCTGTGTATTAAGAAAGGAATGTTGATGATACGTTTGTGGTATATAACAATGTTGAGTCGGTTAACGAATTTCTTCAGTTTTTAAGTGTCTAAAACCCAAATATAAAATCAACAGAATAGACTCGTCACTAGAGTGTATCACAAACCCACTTGTACCGGATTTTATTCACATTTTGAAAGTTTCACGCCTTCATTCTTTAAAGAAAATCTGATGAAAACCCTGTTGTACAGATCATTTAAAATATTAGGAAATCAAAACCTTTTAAGAAGCAAAAGTTGATAAAATTAAAGAAATGCTCAGAATAAGCCATTTTTCGTTGTCGTTCCCAAGTAGAATAAACCACATCAAAGTTGACAAACTATATATATCACCAATAGTATTACCAATCACTCTCTAAACACGTGTGATGTTGTGCTTATCTTCAATTTCTTTTGCATCATCCCCATTTCTGGGAAGAATTCCACATTATAATGCTAGAATCTCTTGCTGTTAAGCTAAGAAAACCAGTTCGTAACCAGAAGATAAG